AGATTGTTCCCTGTTCTCACTCCAAGCCCTATACATTGGCCACTGGGCTGGGGAAGGGGTAGGGGATGTAGTTTTAAAGTGGCTATAAGATTGGAACCATGGAATCATTCTGAACTTTTGAGGACTAGGAAATAGATTTGACATTGCAGATGGAAAGAAGTTACTGGAGAAAAATTAAAACCAGTTTGTATCTGCATTCTACTGAGTTCAGAGTGTTCAAATAAATCAATGGTACAAAAAGCAAAATGAAACTTTTTGAATGTTGCCTCCATAATATAGAACAATCTTTAAATTGGAAAGCAGTAACATTTTAAGAACTCAAAATATTGCCTTTATTTTACTTATTTCTGCATGGTTTTGTCTAGGATGTATTCATTACATAGGATTTTTTTTTTTTTTTGCAAAGTTTATTTATTTATTTATTTTTATTTTATTTTATTTAATAATATAGAAATATATTATGGTGAACTCTTGAGAACAAAAACGTTCTTAACTATCTGATTTAGAAAATTCAAATTAACTATCTTATTTTAGAAAATTCAAAGAGAAGAGAGGCAAAAAAGGAATAAAGTAAGGAAAAATACTTAGATCATAGTGAGAAATGAGTTTTGAGCTTGATTTCAATCTCCTGTCATGAAGTTGGTCAAAGAAAATGAATAATACTTACATATTTAACAAGTTACACAGTATATATAAAGATTATTATATCCTAAAAGAATTATGTAAACTTAATGTTCAATTAAATTATTTACATCAATGGTGCTTTGTAGACTGCATAATAGTCTTTTTTTTTTTTTGATTCTACAAAAAGATCAACGAAATTTGCAAACCTTTATCTAGACTGACCAAAAAAAAAAAAAAAGAGAGAGAGAGAAGACAGAAATTACTAAAATCAGAAATAAAGTAGGGGCATGGTAGAGTATTTGCTTCTCCTGTTATGCTGGAGTGGGCTTTGAGGAGAGAGATTGTCCTCTTCCTTTTCCAGTCTCTGCTTGTGTCACTGCAGTGGACTGTCTGGCAGGCTGCCTGGATGGCAGCTGTGGCTACTGCTGTGGTGTGGAGCCGCTTTTGCAGCAGCCTGGCTATGGAGGGTCACCTGGCGTGGAAGTGATGTTTTCAGTGTGCTCCTTTCCTGTTTCTGTGAGGGGGGGATGCTGCCCTGGGCTCCTGCCTAAGGACCCCGGGCGTGCTCTGTTTCTTGCCTGTTTCCAGACGGAGGGGACTGGCTCTCTGCTCCTTATGTAGGATTTTTAAATGGTTAACATTATTAATTGAAATTCGTATCAGCCAAGAATCACTAGTTCTGATAAAGGTAACCTGTCAAAGGTGAAATTCACACTTTTGCTATGGCAGCTATTGTTCTTTCCCTCATTTTAACCTTTAAATCTTTGTGGAGAAAGAAGAAAGAGGAAAAGGTACAATTATTTAATGAATATTGTAATCTTTGAACACAACAAAATGTTATGAAGGATTAATATAAGCTTAAAGGCATCTACTAGGTAGCAAAATATAAAACCACAGGGAAAACCAGTAAAAGTATGTCAGCAATGGAATTTATAGTCGCCATACTTAACTTATCACCTCAGAAATTCTTAATAAACTAAAAAATAATAAATACAAAAAATAAAATAAAAAATTCTTAGAAATACTTTGTTTTAATGAAGTGTATCATGTTCTATTAATTGAGAAGCAAATTTTATAATGGAAAAATAATCTCAAATTAAGAGAGCCTGACCTGTTCCTTCGTTTACAACATTTGCCTTAAATTTGTAGCTTTTTAGAACTTCAGTCTTTTAAAAAATTACTCCTTTTCGTCTTTACATTATTAGAGAGTATGTTTCCAGAAAACTAATCAACTTAACTTGTATTTCCAACATCAAAAAAAAAAAAAAGAAATAAAAATCATTTTATTTACTTCTACCTTGAAAAGATGTGAATAAGACCCAATTAGCTGTATAGGGATAGGTTTTAGGACCAGAATGTTCTGGTCTTAACCAGTGGAGTGTGTGACTTTGGGCATGTTTCATTACCGTTCCATGACTTGATTTCCTCACCTATCAAATAATTGTGCCAACCTCATTTGGCTGATTGCTCTTATGAGATCATTGAAATCATATATACAGAGTGCTTAAATTGGCTCAAGGTAAATCCTCAATCTACGTTAGCCTAAAGGAAAGGCAACAGACACCAACAATCAGCAGTAATACAGCATGTATAATACCTATTCTCATGTTTTTCAGAATTCCCAAACAACTGCCATTGCTACCCATCAGTGAGGATATAAAACTATTTCTGCCTCATGAAAGCAACCTGAGATAAACCCTTCTGACCTTCTTTTGTTAAATAATTAAAACCATTCTGTAACTCCAACTAGATTTTACTCATTTATTCTTTGAACAATTATTTATTGAGATACTCCTTGTGTCACTGTGCTAGGCATTGAAGGGGGATATTTTAAAATAGTTCTCTGGCTTTGTAAAGTTTGGGGAGTAAGTCTGTATCAGTTAGGGTCTTAGGAGGAAACAGACTGCACTCCCAAAGAGGGCGAAAGAGAGTGTAATGTAGGTAGTACTACTTACAAAAGGTGTGGGCAGGGTTGAAGATAACCAAAAAGAGAAGATGAAGCACCAGAAAGCTAGCACACACCCAGGAGCCAGAGGGCTAGAGAGACCATGTATGCAGTCCCTAGGACCAGCCTGACAAGGCTCAGACCAGGATGGGGAAGGGGTAAGGTGGATTTGAAGGAGAAGATGAGGAATATCTAGAAAATAATCTCTTGCTTTCTTCTTTCTTGTCTTATATAATAGATGTTGCCTTTCTTTTTCTTTCTGAATATAAAAGTAATTTATTTTTATTGTAGAACATTTGGAAAACTGCCTAGTAACTCGTGATCCTGCTTTTTCTTAGCCAGGACATGTTCCTGGTTGAAGGCACATGAATTTACCCAGTAAGCTCTCACACTCAAATTATCATAAAGCAATTTATTTCCATGGCTCAGACATTACAAAATACTCTTCCTTGCCAAAAGATCTACTACTGATGTTACCCTGGAACATTTTGTCTTTCTGCGTGTTGTCAGTTTCCTTATCATGGCATCTTCCTACGGGTATTACACTCTTGGCATATTAAATTTCTTCTTATATTTTTGAACACCATATTGTTCTGTATTATCTCCATCAAACAAATTCTACTCACTACCTCATAAAAAGAAAACCTCCTATAATCCTTATATGATTTCTACTGTTATCATTTCACAAAACTTTTAAAATAGTTTTTCCTATGCTCACATTTTTACAGAATTATAATCATTGAGTATGTATACTTATGTATCCTGCATTTGAAACCAATTTGAATCTTGCTTTTTTTAAACTTAGGAATGTAAACTTTCTTTTTTTCAAGTTCAACCCTATAGAGGCACTCAAGATTGAATGTAACTGTGACAAAATATCTCTGTTACTTGTCTACTTTTGTTAGGTTTCAAGTAGCCTTTGAGTAAATGCTTTAAAATTCTGCCTGCTGCTGTTTGGTCAGCATTAGAAGAGCATAGTACTTGTAATCATTTCCTGGATTTATGTTGAGGAAATTCTTTTCCTTGGTATATTAAATTAAATACCTGAGAAATCTGTGGGGTTCTCCCCCTAGAACATTTTTAAAGGCAAAGTTTCTCCCTCCCCCCTGTTCCCTTATCTACTTTGTCAGTTTCACTGCCAGCTCCTGCATAATATAGTCAAATTATGTGTTAGAAATTCAACCCTGGTTTCCCGGGTGATGGTACAATGCCACTACTTAGTATTCCTAGTCACATAGCTACCATTCCATCACACTCTTAATCTATATATATCTTCACGTTACAGAAGCAGACTTTTCAAATGAGGCATGCATTAAGAGTTTAAATGTACAGAACGAGAAAACATATAGGAGTTCTTGTGCTCAGCCCCAATACAGGACATTTTTGATAGCACAATCCATGAAACCATCATCTGGAATAACACTTCTTGAACTGGGTAATTTTTATGGTATATCTTTTTCAGTTAAATTCTTCAAACTCAGAATTCTTCATGTTCTCTTGTAGTCTACTGCATGACCGAACTTCAAATTTGGGTCTGTTTTAGTAGCTTGAGTCTTCATAAACCAGTTACCAGGTTTCCTCTGGAGCTTGCACAATCAGGGTGCACTCCTAATTCTGGTAATGTTATTGGGAGTCTTTGTTTCTGAAGTGACTTCCAATGATCTGCACAAAACAAATGTCATGAACAGCAGCATCTACCTCAAAATGGCCGGATTTGTGTGATTTAAACCAGGAAATTCTAGCTCTTTCTGATTACTGGTTGCTAAAATTCTCTGTGATGAATATTTGCCTACTTAACTATGTGCTTATACATATGAGAGGTGTGAACTGGTGGTAAAAATTGAGATTACAATTTTTTTCTCTCATGTGTTTTTTTTTTTTGTATTTGTTTACTTTTCTTTTCTTTTTTCTTCTTCTTTTTTTTTTTTGACAGTCTCAAGGGCTCATATTCCTTAAATTCTGGATCTCTTTTAGCTGTGTTACCTTGGTTGGCCAAATCATTTTTCTGACCCTGTTTTCTTAGTAGAAGAAAAGATTAAAATAACTTTACAGACTGTTACGGGAATCAAATTAAATATTTTATGGGAAAGTACTTTGGAAGTTATAAAGCCCTACACAAATGCATATTATTTTTATTTTCTTCATGACCATTGATTATTTGGGAGCTGATTGTTACTCTCTATTCTTGTTCTCTCCCTCCAAATAGTTTTTCACCGATATCTTGGATTTCTGTATTTTACGAACCTCTTTTCTCAGCATGTCAAATTTAATTAGCTTGGTAAATTGTGATATTTGTTTATGTGTGAATTTGGTATATATTTCAAATATTAGGTGAGAGAATATGGTATGTATTTTTTATTTACCTAAGGATACACAACTGTTGGGTTTTTCTTTTTTTCCTCCTGTAGGTTTTAAAAATTGTCAGCAAGGCTGCATTGAGTAACAGACATCCTAAGAGGGGATATTCTCCACCTCTATAATGAAGAAGAGCAGGAGTGTGATGACAGTGACGGCCGATGACGTAAGTTCTAAAAGGCAGGGTTACCAAATTCCACCCACAGTTGGTCTGTTCAATAAAGAAGTCACTTGATAATTCCATTCCGAGGGCAGACAAGGGTATTTAACACCGCCACTCTGTGACTAGGTGTTTCTATGACACAGACATCATCAGCGCCTTGACCCAGCATTCTGCAAGGCAGACAGCAGGAACAGTTTCCTCTCTAGTCTGGAGAGAGGCTGAGTTTCAGCTTTGCGGTTTTTATTCATATAACCACCAATCTTCAGGCTATGCTTATATCCTAAATCTTAGATAATTCCTTTTTCCACACTGTTTACATTACCAGTCCTCTGATGACTTTATTCCATACTTTTTCCCATGTGCAGATAACCCTTGAAAGTGACTATCAATTGTAGGGTCTTTCACAACTACTCCTAAGAAGTTTGTGATGTACACATCCTCTAGGTCTTTGCTACTCAAGTGTGATCCTTTGACCAGTAGCATTAGCATCACTATTGGGAATGCAGAGTCTCAGGCCACATCTCAGACCTGCAAATCAGACTGTATTTTAACAAAATCCCAGGGTGACAAGGTAGGTACATTATGTTTGAGAATCCCTGCTCTGAGTCATCTGAAGAATTCTATAAATTCAACATCATCATAGCTTTAGATCTTAGTCAGCTGAGATGATCTCTTTGCTTTCAATTGACCAGTCCCCCATTAGTGTGTCTTTAATTGTCTAGTCCTTATCAAGTTACTGTTCTTAAGTGAACTAAAAATTGTGTGTCACTAATCAGATGTGCAAAAGAAAAGAAGGGAGGGAAGGAGGAAAAATGAGTGATTTTCTTTGCTTTCTGTAATAGGTCATCTTGTTAAGCTTCTATTTCACAGATGGAGGAGAGGCTGGGAGGGACTTGAACTTGCCAATTAATGTAAAATTGTGTCTTTTGGGGAAATGCACACTCTTTCAGGATTTCTCCCAGTTCGTACTCCTTCCCTTTAGTTATGTGACTTATGGGCAAAGCAGGAAACAACATTACATGATGTTATAGTAGCAGGGATGTAAGGGGTGTGTGGTATTGTCCTTATTTTGTATTGTCCTTTTCCACTAGCCCCTACTGTTGTTCAGTTGAGGAATAGCTCATTTTCCCAGGTCTTCGGTAGTCAGTCTCTGCCTTGGTCCAGTGCTGCTTAGGTGTGGCGGCAGGTACAACCGGTGATGATTGCTGTCAGCATGACAAGTGCACCTTCTCAGCTCACTGAGAGTTTGGCCTCCTGCCACCTGCCTGGGCTCATCACCTAACCTCTCGGTGGGGTTCTGCTCATTTAAAAGACTCTGCTCGACTCACTCTCCAGCTCTTACCTTTTGTAGCTCACCCCATGGATCCCATGGTCCCTTTGCCTCTCACGCTGCAGTAACTTCAGCAGGCATGTTGGGGCTAATTCTCAGCTTCCTGTCTCTGTCCCTATGGGGCTTATGGGAATGTCTAGGACCCATAGGCACAGAAGGAGAGTTAGGTCTGTTATTTAGGATCTTTTCTCCCAAACACACTCCATTGCCAGTGCCATTTTTACTTTATTGTGTTTTGAGGAACCTAGTTAACATGTTCTAGTCTCATTACTGGTAACAATATTTTCTTCCTTTTTTTTTTCCCTCCTTTTCCTGTTCCTGGACCAGAAGGGGATTTCCCTTAAGTTATAGTCTAAATTCTCAGTACCAATGACAAAAAGCTATGTTTAGACGTCCATGCTCTGCTCAGGTTATCTAAGGGAAACTTCTGGAATTTAGAAATCCTTTTTCTTTTTTTTTTAAAAAAAGGTTGGATTTTGGATTTTTTCCCCAATACTGTTTGTATTCTGTATGCTCTAGGATTCTGTTTTTTGGAAGAATAAAACTGAGCAACGCATTTCATTCATGAAAGATGGACGAATCACTTTTTTTTCCTCTTTGCATTTTTAGAGTAACAATCCTGACCCTTCCTGAGGGAATGGTTGTCACAGTCAAAGAGGAGAAAGGTTGCCTGCAAGAATTTGCAAAAAGAGAAAAACACATTTAATGAATATTAATCCCACCAGAGTGGATAAATATTATCTAGGTTTACTCTGTCCGGTATGGTAGCCACTAGCTACATGTAATTGTTAAGCACCAGTATGAATGGAAACGAGCTGTAAGCATAAAATAGATCTTGATTTTAAATTTACAAGTGCAAATATAAAAAAATGCAAAATGTTTTATTTATATTTTTGATATTGATTACGTGTTGAAATGATAATACTTTGGATATACTAGGCTAAGTAAAATATTTTATTAAAATAAATTTCACCTGTTTCTTTTTACTTTTTTAATGTGGCTACTAGAAAATTTAAAATTACACATTTGGCTCCATTTGTGGCTTGCCCTTTGTTTCTAGGGGACTGTAGTGACCTAGACTTCCCACTGTGTAATTCAACCTTTCAAGTACAATGCAGATAATCATACTGAATGTTTCATATGGTGTCTCTTCTCTCACAACAAGAGCAACTTAGCAGACTATGTATTTTATATACCACACCCTTGAAGTAAATTTTCACCCTTAAGCCAGAGATATTTTATTATATTGTCATTTATTTCAACTTAGAAAATTTTTATTCAATGATTTAAACATTTATCTAATTATTAATTTAGCACCTATCATGTGACAAACGTTGTTCTAGGTTTTAGAGATTCAGCAAGAAATTGCAAAAAGTTCTTGTCCCCTTGGAGCTTGCATTCTAGAGGGGAGGACAGAAATACATTAATAAATTATAAAATAATCCCACCTATGATAAGGGCTATACAGAAAAATGAAGTTGGTAAGGGGCACAAAGGATGATTAGGTAGTGAGAATAAAGTATTTATGGAAGGACAATTTGAGGAGATGGCATGTTGGCTGAGAGGACATAGCAGTGTGGGACTAAGCCCTGTGAAGATCTGGGGAAGGAATATTTCTGGTTGAGGGAACAGTGAGTGCAAAGGCCTTTACTGTGTGCAAGACACACTACGTTTGGGTCTGTGGGAATACATAAATGAATGGACTGAGACTCCTGCCTTCATATACTTGTAGTATACAAATAACTTTAATAGAAAACTTAATGTGATGAATATCATAGGAGCAGCATGCATTCAATACTTTGCATATGTTCCAGAAGTGAGGCTATTCAAGTACTGAACACAAGCAATTAATTATGAGTAAAAGGACTATAAAATAGTTTAAAGGGGAGGGAGTTGCAGGTTTGCAGAGGAGCTGAAAAGAGGAAAAAGGCTAAGGAGACTAGGAAAGAGGAACCAGGAGATATGTGTACAAATGAGAGAAATAGAGTGAGAGAATAGCTAATGTATATATATAAGTATATATATACATACACACACAATTGGCTATATAAGTACAGTTGTTTATAGTTATTATGTTTATATATGTAAAACTATACTATTGTTTAGTACATATATGTACATGTATAATATAGACATATATGCATACTCATACATAATATGTATGTGTGCATGTGCATGTGTGTATATAAATGTGTGTGTATAGTATTTTAATCAAAAGACAAATATCCACATCTATACCCCAGTTATAGTTTTGCATTTCTAATCACAAACATCAGGAGACTATTTGAAAGAAGGAAAAGTAGTTAGTAAGAGTTGTAAGAATTACCTCCAGGCAAACTACCCTTGTAATTGATGGTGGCTGCCTATGACAAAACCACATTTTTCAAAGACAAAATTACCTTTATTATTGTCTCATGGAACATTGTGACATTTAGCCTTGTTAAGGGCTCTGAGGGTCATTTGATGCTTATCATAACTGCCATTTCTGATTTTATAAGGTTTGAAAACCTTTGGACTGTGCTCCAAACTGAATGTTAACCTAACTAAGGTCACTAGAAGTCCTTGGAAATACCTTATCCTGTTTCTAACCATGACTTTAACTGGAAGAATTCAAAAATTAGAGAAATCTCCAAAAATGACTAAAATAGACAAAACAAAAAACAAAACATAACAATAACAACAACAAAACCTCACTACTTAGGCACTAATGTGTCTCATCTGGATGTTTCAGTGGTCCTAACTTGGTTGCTTTTGACATGGGCATAGGGCAAAGAGATCACCCTTTGGTGTCCCTTCCCCTCCTCCCTGAGAACTTCCTACTTAGGTGCAGAGTTTCACTTTAGCTTTTTCTTTGTGACAACCTTTTGTAATATTGATTTTTAAACAAACAATTATTCAGGAACATGAGGATAATCCCAAACTAGGTTGTTTCCTTAGGGATTATTCAGATATTGGGTGAATTTTTGAGAGTATGACACATTTGAAAAATTGTAATTTCCAGAGGTAACATTCAAATTAATGTTCCTTTTCCTAAGAATCTTTGAATGCTCCTGTTTCTCTTCAAAATGTATAAATCTTTCGCCTTTTACTAAGAATCTTTGACATAATGAGTGGTGTAGAGTTTGTCAGAATCATGCTGGTTAAAATAAGAAAATAAGTTCAAGATCACAAATTCAGTAACTGAGGATTGACTGAATTAGATTTTGCCTTTGAAGTTGTTAGTAATTTTGAAGTAGTAGTATATAAGTTATGGGTATGAATTACAGATTGAGGTAATTATGACTAACTCTGCATGGGTTAATGAGTGTTTGCAAAATAATATCAACATTTTAATGTTTTCAGTATTTAATTTAATTCTAAAAAACCGTACCATTATGTTCTTCTTTTGTGGCAATGCATTTTCATGTTAACTGAGGTCTTCTGAAACAAATCCTTTTAACTCAAAGAATGACTTCAAATCCATAAATTCAAGCTTGTTGGCAATTACTATGGAAGGTATTTTGTGGTAGGTGTGACTTTGCTATTTTCAAACAACAAGTACCAAAATAAGTACCCGTTTAATTAATTTACTAAAGTTAAACCTGGTTGGCAATATTTCCTTTTTCTAAAAGAGAAAAATATCCCATAGCTTTCCTAGGAGGCTATGGTGATTGATAGTTTAGCTAAATGATATCCGTATTTCTGTTCTTTACTACAGTGTTTCTCGCATAAGATGTAAAGTATATAGTCAAGACTTTGCTTTCTAGATAACCAGTACTTTCTTTACATGCATACTTGGAACTAGAATGATTTGCAGCTATGATTCCTGACTTTTAGTTTGTTCTTAAATCTCTTCAGAAAGATTTTGTATAGTCTCTCTCCTCAGCTAGTTTGTGTTTTAAGAAAGAAACATATATAATAAGCTTTTCCTTCAGCTTCTAATTTCTAACACCTCCCTCCCCCCCCACCATGCAGTAAGTGCTAGGCCTACAGAGGGTTTAATATAATAACTAGTTACTAAACAGTAAAACTCAGATGCATTCCAGGATATTTCAAAGTCTGGAAAATTCTAGCTTACTTTGCTTTCTTCCTGTTACTGAAATATGGTTCTACTAAATTTCAAATAAATTGTATTTCAAAACTTAAGTCATGCACAGGAAAATATGATGATATCTTTCCAGATAGGGAGAGTGGGGCTCCTGAAAATTGTCAATCTTTTCTTGCCCAGATTTCCGTAATCAAGATATAGTCTTGAATGGATCAGACAAGTATAAATCACTAGAATATAGGTTCTGTGAGAACAGATACTGTACCTCTTCTTACTGTTGTGTCCCCCCCCTTATTTTTTCAGCTGGCCGGTATAGGGATCTGAACCCTTGACCTTGGTGTTATCGGCACCACACTCTACTGAGTGAGCTAACCGGCCAGCCCTTTTGTATCCTTCTTAAGTAGCATGGTGCAAAACTATAATAGATGTGCTTCATGTATTTGTTAAATGAACCCAGCTAGATACTCAAACTTGAGTTAATTATTCTTGCACGAACGAGGATAGGGTTGGTCAGGTGGCGGAGTCGAGGGTAGAGAACTTTTGTTTGTTTAAACCTTAAGAGGTCTAGTTTCAGGTCCTCCTAAGTCTAGTCTGAGGGCTAGTAGGAAGTACCTATCTTTTTAGGGCCCCAGAGTGATTTTCAGGTGAGAGACTTTGGCCTGATGGTAGGACTTCCATTATTCCCTGTTAAGATAAGTTTGTAGAGTGAAAATTATAGCTTTTAAACTTCAAGTTGCTATCAGTGGCCATTGCAGTGCTGAACATTTTCTGTCCTTGAAGTGGAATGAATGGTACACCAGGTTCGTTTGGGACTCCCTCTGCCAATAGCACCAGGAAACATAATCACCAAGAGATATGGGAAGAATGAATAATTCTTATCATTGGTTACAGCACAATGCCTTTGTCTTCTCACAAGTGTTTCATTCATGTCAGCACTAGTGCGTGTACTTGAACATGGCCGTTCAGGACTGGATAAAGAATACGTATGCTTTTCCTGAATTCTTATATAATTTGATGAAAAATAAAATCACCAACCATGAGAAGACCTTTTGTAGGAATAAGAGCAGTCAGTCACCCATAATTATCAACATCTGGCTGTCCTAAAATAGAAAATGTTTTTTACTTTAGAACACTAAACAAGAACATTATACTTTAACTATTACAGTTTAGTCCCATATTACAGAATGATAACATTGATTGCCAAAATATATTTTCAATTTAGCAAATTTAATTTTAGCAAATTAAAAAACACAAAGAGAAAAAATAAGGAACAATAAAGAGAAAGATGGGAAGGAAGCCCTTCAATCCATGTGCTATAATGGGGAAACATTATCTACATGCCTAAAGATCTCCAGGAATATGCAATGAATAGGTTTATTCTAAATGTTGGGAATCAGCACCCCCTCCCACCTTTTTGTTGTCTCTAAGCCTTTGTCATCAATGTTTAGATTCCTTTTGTGAGATAATGAATTGGGACTTCATAAATGACAGCTTGATCATTTAGTTTCTTATTCCACTCCATCATTTTAAACATTTGAATTTCATTTTCTTTTTCTTCTTTTTTCTTTCCCTGTGATTCTTCCAGAATGTTAAAGATTATTTTGAATGTAGCTTGAGTAAATCCTACAGTTCTTCCAGTAACACACTTGGGATCGACCTCTGGAGAGGGAGAAGGTGTTGCTCAGGAAACTTACAGTTACCACCACTGTCCCAAAGACAGGGTGAAAGGGCAAGGACCCCCGAGGGAGATGGCATCTCCAGGCCGACCACGCTACCTTTGACCACGCTTCCAAGCATTGCTATTACAACTGTAAGCCAGGAGTGGTGAGTAGCCTCAAAACTAAATGTCAATTCTAAATTTTATTTTCCAATTATTTCAAGTACAGTTTCATGTTATTAAAATGTGAGTTAGGGCCGGCCCGGTGGCGCACTGGATAGTGCGCCGCTTGGGAAGCGTGGCGGCGCTCCCGTCCGAGGGTTCGGATCCCACATACAGACCGGCTCCCGCTCACTGGCTGAGCGAGGCGCGGGAGCAACACCGAGGCTTGCGATCCCGTTGCCGGTCCCCGGTCCGGTACGGGGGCAACACTGAGGGTTGCGATCCGTTGCCGGACACGGAAAAAAGACAAAAGACAAAAAAAAAAAATAAAATAAAATAAAATAAAATAAAATGTGAGTTATCTGTGGACTAACTAAGACTATTGACATTTTGAGAATTTGTTTCCCTTTGAGTAGCAAGATGAGGACTTTTAAACAGTGGAGATATTTTTACTTCTTAAGACTGGAAAGAGCATGTTTCACACAGAGTGCATTCAGGAAGGAATGAGACGTGTTTGCATTAATGTCAAGGGAAAGCAAAATGACTGCTTGTGACCTATTTTTTTCAAAAAGAAGGACGATTCAATGTGCATCAGTATTTTTTAATTTAGAAAAGTAAAATGATGTGAGTACCCATAAGGTACTCTTCTTATTGCTGTACTCTACATATATCCCTAACTTCTTTTTGTTATAATCCCACGTTACTAATCTCAGTTCGTAATTATCTACAAAATAAAACACTTCATAGTAAATCAAAAGAGGAATGAAAGTTGTTTTAGGAGAGATGCTTGAACTGTTTTGTAGAGTCTGTATTTGTGAAAGAGGCTATTTTAAAATAGCATTGAAAAGTAAATTAAGTACGTATGATCTTATAACTTTGGTTAAAATCATGATAAGACACTGTTTCAAACATCTGTTTTATCATATATTTAATTAGTACTCTCTCCCTTTTTCATTTCTTTTTTTCTCTACATAATTTTCAAATATATTCCAAGAATGTTCTGCTTACATAACATGGTGATTTATCATTAAAATGAAAAATATTTTCTCTATATTTTATATGATTTTAAATTATAAAATGCGGTGCTTTTAAAATGACTTTTTGTTTAAGTTACTTATTACAGAGAAGGACTAAACACATTATTGTGCAGCATCATTCCAATAAGTCATTAAAATCTGTGCTTTTTATGACACACATGCAGAGCTCTACAGAGTTGATGACTATCCCAATATGTGACACAGGGCATTTTTTAGTTGATGTTTATTTAATACACTAAGAATTAGATCACTGAAACTCCAGGTATCACAATTAATAGCATGAAAGTGGTTTATCAAACAATCTGTGTGTGATAGAGAAGTATGCTAAAACACTGTCAAGAAAATGGGTTAAAGATTTGAGAAACATTGACTTCTTCTGTTCAGCTAAATTAACATTGTAACAGTCATAACCTACCACTGAGAACTAAAATGAGCGTATTGCTCCCTTATAATTTATTCAATCACATACCGTCTGTGATTAGTCTTGATTATGCTTCTGCGTAATTTATTTTTCAGCAAGTTTGCACTGACGCAGTTGTACCAGTTATTGAAATGCTTCTATACCGATTGGGGAATATATGAGGGGTCTTCAAAAAAATTTACGGAGATATTATATTTGTATTGTCTTTTAATTCCGTTTTTCCATGAACTTTTTGAAGTGCCCTCATATGCTTTCCTGAGCTTTCTTATTGCCTGTACTACCATCCCAGACTCTTTCCCAGAATTCCTCAGAATTCCTCACCATCCAGCAACAAAGAGGGGATGACTGGGCACAGAAGGAGTTTGGTTTTGGTAGGTGTTGGTGCTATACCTGTTGTTAGCTATTTCGAATAACACCTCCAATAAAATGAACCTTGTAGAGTTTGAGTTCATTTAATTCAAGGACATTTTGGGAGTTGTAGAATTATTCCTCCCTTAGAAGTGTTAAATCTAGACTCTGACATTAGGGGCACGCTTGTTTCCCTCTCTAAGTTTGATGTTTTTATTTATACAAAGAGGGTAATAATACTTCATAGGCTAGATAAGGTAATCTACATGATGTACCATCTGTAAAAAGCATGTATTAGGCAATCAGCAAATGTTAGTTTCCCTCCTCATGAACATCATTCAATAAGACCTTTTGAAAATTAGAAAACATGTCTCAAATATCAGTAGCCGCATGCTGGGTTGTCAGTACTTTAGGGTGAAATGGAAGATTTAGCCATTATCTAGAGAGTTTATGTTGTATAGTCAGCTAATACCACATATTAGTAATTCATTCATAACATGTCTGTTTTATTTCAAATAACTGGATACTTTTTAAAGAATGAGAGTATTCAATCATTAACTCTAAACTTATTTTTAAATGTAAGTAACTGAAAGATTTCTATACATCCCTTGAAAATACTTCCATTGGAATATTTATAGTTGAAGACTGGTGGAATTGCTAGCAGAGGAATCTGATTGAAAGATGATTTGATTAGAAGTAAGAAAACAGGGCTCCAACCATCATCACTGCTGTCAACACGATGAAAGTTCATGGAGGTAAGGAATATAGCTTAGGACCATGTGTGAGAAAGAATTACACTTATATTTAGAGCACTGAGAATATGGAATCAATCTCCATATCTTGACCAGCAGTCAGCAAAAGTTTTCTGTAAAGGGCGATATAGTAAATATTTTCTGTTTTGTGAACTTTAAGGTCTCTGTTGCAACTACTCAACACTGCTGTTGTATTGTGAAAGTAGCCATAGACAATGAGTAAGCGAGTAAGTGTAGCTATGTTCCAGTAAAATTTTGTTTACAAAAACAGGCAGTGGGTTGGATTTGGCTCACCAGTCAGAGTTTGCTGATCCCTGTTCTAGACTAGTAAGGATTTCTAGGCTGTGACTCCTAGTGTGATAATTGCTTCAACAATTACCAGGGATAGAAACTGACCTTGACTTTTTTGGCTGGTATGCTGAGTCAGTCATAAGTATAGTACTTTGTGCTCTAGATCAAGCCATCAAAGTCAGTGAAAGAATTTGAGTGAGTACTAAGGAAAGGAATTGGCCACTTGTATATAAAGTTAAATATAAAAACATTGATATAACTATAACCCTTCTGAGGGGAGAGCACATTTATGAAGGGAGCTGACCATCATTGCAGGCAAAAGGCCTGGAAAATAAGGTTAGTGGTATTTATTATGGAGCAAGAGTTAGAAAGTACCCAAGCCCATTTTTATTGGGTGACTTCCATCCTGTTGCCTTTTGGATGAGCTTCCTCACCTTCCAAAACACACAAATAAACAATGGAGATAATTCCTACTTCTCAGGGTTATGATGAGAACTAAAGAAAATGTTCATGATCCATATAGCAGAGTAATTAACACTTAATGGTAAATTTTTTGTTATTATTATTGTTTTTATTGTTATATGTAGAGTGAGTAGCCAGAATTGTGCATTTTCTGCTATTGGAGGTTCTAGGGAAACTTCATCACCTAAGTTCTTGGAACCAACTTGGAATTATGATAAAAGAGGAGTCAGATATGAGGACAAGATGTTATGTTTATTACTGATAAAATTGACATTGGGATCTTTTCTCCATAAGCTGAGGGTCATGCCAGGGATGTAGCTGTTCTTTAGAGGGTCATATTGGGAGTATACCAGAAGAGTCTTACTGCCATATTTGTGAAGCTGTTATTCAATACTGACCACTGCCCTTTCGAGTATCCAAAGAAAATAGAAACTGAAATCAAAGTTTCTTATCTAAAGTTCAAAGACATTAAGGTCTCAAATGTATTATCCTTATCTTCTTAATTTTGTTAGTGGGTTCTTGGAGCGTGGTGTCGAATGAGGGTTTCCTAACCAGCTGGAGCCTAAGCCATCTTCCATTGTAAAGACTGTAGCACCTGCAGCTCCATATAAATTGTTTCAGTACAGTAGTAGAAGTCTTTGACAGGCTTCACCTTTTAAATAATTAAAGGAGTTTATTGATTTACCAAATTTATCAAAGCAATACCCCATAACCAAATTTAGGAAATAAACCAATTCTTATCCTTAATCTTATTAATTTCATTCAGACTTGTTTTGTGACCTAACATATGTTCTATCTTTGAGAATTTTCCACATGCACTTGAGAAGAGTGTATATTCTGCTGCTGTGGGTTGAATGTTCTGTATAGAAAAACAGGGGAAAATTTTTAAAAATTGTTTTTTTAGAAAAGGTAAAAATTGACACATTTTTAGCTAGACTACCTAAGGGAAAAAAAAAGAGAGAAGATTCAAATAAATAAAATGAGAAATGAAAGAGGAGACATTAAAATGGATGCCAAATAAATAAAGAGGGTTGTAAGAGACTGCTATGAACAATTATATGCAAAAAAACTGGATAACATAGATGAAATGAATAAGTTCCTAGAAACATACAACCTACCAAGACTGAATCATGAGGAAATAGATATCCTGAGCAGACCAATAACTGGTGAGACTGAATCCAGCAGTCAAAACCTCCCAACAAAGAAAAGCTCAGGATCAGATGGTTTCACTTATCAGTTCTGTATCAAGCATTTAATGAATTAATGCCAATCATCCTCAAACATTTCCAAAAAATTGAAGAGGGAACACTTCCAAACTCATTTTATGAAGACATTATCACCCTGATACCAAAGCCAGACACAAACTTCGTAAGAAAAGAAAACTACAGCCCAGTATTCCTGATGAATATGTATGCAGACTTAGGAGGTGTAAATGGAAAACTAGGAAACATTGATGAAATAAATTAAAGACGGCACAGCAAATGTAAAGACATACTGTGTTCATGGACTGGAATCATGTTCATGGACTTAATATTGTTTAATTAGTCATACTATCTAAAGGGATCTACAAATTCAATGCATTCCCTATTAGATCCCAATGACATTCTTTACAGGAGTAGGACAAGATGTTCTAAAATTTGTATGGAACCACAAAAGACCCCAAATAGTCAAATCAATATTGAGAAAGGATAGCA